TTGAGCACCGTCTGAAAAGCCAAAGCATTGCTGATTTAGGTCCCTTCCAAATAGCTGTATAAAATCCACACTGAACTAGATTGTATCTCAGTGTGGATCCAGTTCAAAGCAGGTATTGTGGATTATCTGCCTTGATATTCTGGGTTATATGGCTGTGTGGAAGGGCCTCTAAAAAGATTTGATTTTCCAGATGCAATCTTCATACTGTTTTTTACTTATACCCAAACTTCTGTGTGATCTAGAGCAGGGGTCCTCAAACTAAGGCCCGGGGGCCGGATGTGGCCCTCCAAGGCCATTTACCCGGCCCTCTCTCTGGGTTGACCTAAGTATGAAACTACTTGAAATCACACAATAACAACAATAATCCTATCTCATCAGCCAAAAGCAGGCCCACACTTTCCATTGAAATACTAATAAGTTTATATTTATTAAAATTGTTCTTCATTTTAATTATTATATTGTTTTTAAATGTTTTTTTGCACTATAAATAAGATATTTGCAGTGTGCATAGGAATTCATTCATGTTTTTTTCAAATTATAATCCGGCCTGCCAACAGTTTGGCCCTGGCCCTCTGTTTAAAAAGACCTGGCCCTCTGTTTAAAAAGTTTGTGGACCCCTGATCTAGAGTTTGGGTATAAGCAAAAACAAGTGATTTCTACATGTTGTTTTGAGAGTTTTCCTTAGACTAGTTGCTTGTACTGCATTTCTTATGTTTCAAATTATCTTTAATACTTGTGGTTGAATCTTTTTACATTGGATTCATATTTTTTTTAAAAAAAATCTGCATTAAAATTCATCTGCTCACGTCTGTGCATTTTCTTTCATATTCAAAATATTGTACCAGTGTTGCCTAATATGTGGGGTTTAGTATGGCATATTAGGGCCCCTTTCACAGACAGCCCCTATATCCCAGGGCCCTTCCACACAGTCCTGTATCCCAGAAGATCAAGGCAGAAAATCCTACATTATCTGCTTTGAACTGGTATACATGGCAGTGTGGACTCAGATAACCCAGTTCAAAGCAGATATTGTGGGATTTTCTGTCTTGATATTCTGGGATATGGGGCTGTGTGGAAGGGCCCCCAGGATCTGATCCCAGGTTTTCTGTTTTAATTATCTGTTATGGATTATATGAGTCCTCGCTGCCAGATAATCTGGGATAAGCAGAAAACCTGGGATTAGATCCTGGGATATAGGGCCTGTCTGGAAAGGCTCTTAGGCACATATTTGCAATCAGGCTTTTTAAAAAAGCGAACTCCTGTTTATGTGTGTCCATCCCCATATCCACCCTACAAATATTCACACTTGGTTGCACACTTGTTTTGTTTTAGCCACATTTTATGTATGTATGTATGTATGTATGTATGTATTTTATATTCTACTTCCTTTTTCCTAAAAGAGACTCAAGGGGGCACACAGTTAATGACATACAAGTTCGCAAGTGTAGTTTATGTTTTTGTTTTTTTTTTTTGGATGGGTTGCAGGATTCTAATCCTCTTTCTTTGTCCATCTCCATTGCAGCATAGGAAACAAAATAATTTCTGCCATGGCATACTTATAGATTTAAACTAAAACTTGTAAAAGAACCCCTGCTGGCTGGAGCAGTCTAGGAAATATTGTCCAAAAAACCTCACTTTTTCATGCCCCAATTTAGATTAAAGAAGGCTGTATTTACAACCTAGGTATTAAACAAATACAGGAATGTCACTTTAATCCGCTTTTTATCAGAACTTTTTTTTTCATTTTGTGGATAGAAGGAATTTGAAATTTAATATACCTGAATGTGGAAGAAACCAGCAGATTCATCCATGCAGGGCCAGGGGATTTGAGGGCTTAACTCTTAAAGGTTTGGAAGTTAAAAGCTTGGATCCTTTATTCAACTGTATTTGTAGTGCTAAATAAGGTAGCCAGGCCCTTTTTCTGACTCATCTTTAATACATATAACACAGGCAGGTCCCCCACATTTTTTCCCATGCTAGGAAAAGCTATACCAGGAGAATTTACCTCATGAAGACAGAAGAGCATTTTGCTACTGTTTATTTATAATTGATTGATCGGTTGCATTTATAAACCATAACCCTCTGGACATTGTGCTATCTTTTGAAAGCTTTTAAAAGCATTTTTTTCATGTCAGGGGTGACTTGAGAAACTGCAAGTCGCTCCTGTGTGAGAGAATTGGCCGTCTGCAAGGACATTGCCCAGGGGACACCTGGATGATTGATGTTTTATCATCCTGTGTGAAGCTTCTCTCATGTCCCCGCATGAGAAGCTAGAGCGCAACAAATGGGAGCTTACCCCACTCCCTGGATGCGAATCGCCAACCTGTCCATCAACCAGTCCTGCTGTGACAGTGCGAGTGGCACCACCTTTGTATAGAACTTGTGCAAAGTGCAAAGGTTTAAACTGTATAACATGCCCAAGCTTGCCTAGTTTGTAAATGTATAGTTGGATTATTTATCCAACTATGGTTATTTATACCTGTCAATCAATGTTGTTTGCACCACTTGAATTGCTCCTCCTGCTCAATTGTTTGGCCCCACCTCTTCCTAGAGAGCAGGGCAGTGTTTCCTTCTTTATTCTACCATCAAACTTTCTATCAGATAGATGTGAGAAAGAGACTTGGCTCTCAAGCCCTTTATTAAGTTACCTCTCATCACCAATTCTAAGGTTTTTTACCCTTGGAACTCATACTTCATGCCCAGATCACCCTGGACAATGTTGAGAAGATCCAAACGCCTTCAAAGGAAGACTATGTGCCTTCAACATAGGCCATTGGACTGGGGGTTGTGTTTGTTCCAACTTTCACTGCCATTGAGAAAAGAGGGAACAGGAAAAGCTTCTCGGCTGCGAAATCTCCTTCGACCCAAGACAACCAGAGACTATAATGTATATTTCCTTTACCCTTTTGAAACTTCCAGCTTATTGCCTTAAAGGGATAACTCTTGTGAACAATAAAACCTATTTTGAGTTATCTACAGTGTTTTGGTCCTTGGGAGTTCCAGTTCTCTAAAGGAAGGCAAGAAACAATCCCCTGGGGAAAAGATGTCATGTCTATGTCTCTTTCACTAAGAGTTATAGCTCCCAGGCGCAACGGCATACCTGCTAGCACAAGGGTTTAACCCATTGCACCCCCGGGGGCTCCAAAAACAAACAAACAAACAAACAAACAAACAAACAATAAATAAATAATTGCTCTGTTTACCAAAATTAGGAAACTATTGATCAAAATTTGCATATTTTCCTATATTTGGAACAGAAAGGACTTTTCAATTAATTCAGAAGGAAGCAAAGCTAACATGTTGACTGAGATCCTACATCTTCTAGACTGCTTCAACCAGCATGACCTCTTTCCTAAGCTTTGGTTTACATCTAAAGCATGTAATAGTATGCCAGAAGAATTGTGGTTTTTCTTCTTCTTATGGTGCCATGTTATTAGACAGGAAGTGGGACACTACTAAATGTCTGAAAGTGGCATTATGCATTAATTATACTATTTAACACATGTTCTTGCGACATATGGATTCAGATGCAAGACTGTGCAACTGAACCCAGACAGCTCCACTGGCAAAACTCAATTTCTGCAAATTTGAACCTAACATAGCTGTTCCACATTAAAACAATTACCTTGTTGCTTTTGAAAGGAAACTTACACAAGCCTTAGATACCAACACAACTCTGGCGTTTGAGTTTTCCATCCCTATTATGTATCTCAATATATGCCATTTTAAAACTACATTAATACAATTATCTGTTCATATTTAGAAGGCATTTCTTCAAAAGTTATCATATATTTTTTGCATTATCATAATACCTTCAAGTCTGATGGCAACATTAATAACACAGTTTCAAGTTGTCTTAATGTCATGTGTGACATTTTCTTGTAAATTTATGGTAAGCCTTTTTTTCTCACTAATGCAATTTCCCAAATCCTCAGCAATTTAAAATATTTTGGTATGACCAGTCTTGCAGTTACCATTAATTTTGGAAGCAGTTATTTGTGTTTAAGGGCTTTATCACATTACGGTGGTAAACCACAGTTTCAGCAGAATAATAGTGTATTTGTCTGGGACTTATTACATAATGTCATGTCTTTCCCATTACTGCATGGAATTTCCATTATTATTGGATGACATCTTTTCATTGATGGGAAAACCCAATTAATGGCCATTGTTCAACTAGTCTTTTCCAGCGCATTTGCTTTATTACACAGTAGTTCCAGTCTCACAGCTATCAGATGGTGTGAGTGAGTAGGCATGACTCTCCTCCCTTGAAGCCACTCCATTTCCAGTGTCCAAATACAGCATGGTGGGCAGGAGCAACATTGCTTTTACTCAGTTCCCTAGTTCTTTTAAAATTCATTTTTGCCATAATTGTGCAAAACAAAAAATAATACTGGTGGCACAGTTGCTGAGCTGATGAACTGAAAGATTGGAGGTTTGAATCTGGGAAATGAGGTGAGCTTCTGTTGTTAGCCCCAGCTTCTGCCAACCTAGCAGTTCAAAAAAATGCAAATGTGAGTAGATTTCTAAGCATTTGTGCAATATAAGCCATACCCTGAAAACAGAACAAAGTGATAGACGTGGCTAGGCAGTACAGCTCCGGCAGGAAGGTAGCAGCACTCCATGCAGTCATGCTAGCCACATGACCTAGGGGGTGTCTATGGGCAATGACGGCTCTTTGGCTTAGAAATGGAGATGAGCACCACCTCCCAGAGTCAGACACAATTAGACTTAATGTCAAGGGGAAACCTTTACTATATACCATGAGGGACAGAAATGAGTAGGAAAGCGGGGTCAAGCAAAGTGGTGCAAAAATAGATTGTAGGAATGTGCATCACTGAAGTGGAATTCTGATATTATCGGAGAAAAGGTGTGGAAGTTATTGTTTCCATACTGATATGTTCACATTTGCTTAAACAATGCAGTTGCTGTGAAAAAACAGGCTGGTGTGATAAAGTCCTGAGTCTTTCATGTTTAGATGTCCATTTCATATTTTTCAGGTGAATATCTCCAACTTTGATGTTGTTATGGAGTCTGATGAGGGAACGTTCAAGCCCTCTGGACTAGCCTTCACAGGCAGCGATGAGGCACGTGGGATCATGAAGGAGATCATGAAGCTGCTGAAGCCTATCAACATCACACAACTCTTTGGAAATGGGGAAGGAACAGATATCAGTTACTGGATGAAGGCTGGAGTGCCAGGTGAGATTCCTGGATGAGTTTTCAAAATTGATGCCTTCTCCTGCCTTTCTTCTCTCCTTTTTTGTTTTTTGGTGATACAGGTAGTTTTGATAACAATTCCCCTAGAACAGCTATTTATTAGCATTAAATACAAGCAGCCCTCCACATTTCCTAGGGGTGAAAGGCACAGGATCTCTGCAAAAGTGAAAAACCACAAAGGAAAACATTGCTATTTATTAACTGCAGAAAATCCCCCTCTATGAATATCTAGGTTCTCTGGCATGATTTTATTATCAACCCAACAAAGTTGACTAAGTTTACAGTCACACTGGAAGAGCTAAAGATTTCCAGAGAAAACATGTTAATTGAAGTCATGAATAAGCAAATCTGCAATTTGCATATGCATTACCATTAACTAAGGAAATTGCTTCAGATTTTTCCAAACCTCTTTTCCCATGAGTTATGGGGACTCTTGGAGTTTTCTGATGGCTGAAAGTGAGCGACTTGCCCAAGGATTCAGTTTGCTGATAGATTGGGCCCTTGGTGTCCACTGAGGTTTGGTTCTAGGATACCAAAATCTGTGGATAGTCAAGTCCCATTATATACAGTGGTGTAATAAAATGTTGTATTTTGTATAAAATGGTGAAAATAGTGTTTGCTTTTTGGATGTGTTAAGACTATTTTCAAGTTGAGGATGGTTGAATCTGTGGATACAGAATCCATGGATAAAGAAAGCCGATCGTATATATTATCAAACTTTTATATTTTCTCCTCTGAGTATATGCTTTTTGCTTGCCATTTTCTTAGATATATACAGAAGAAAGAGCTTTTGCTTTTGTTTAAAAAACAAACAAACCAGTAAATCCAGGGAGATTCTCCAAAGACTAACAATAGCTGTTTATGTCACCTTTTTAAGCCTCTGCTATCCTCCATTTCTACAGCTAGCTGCCAAATGTAATATCTTCAGACTAGAACAGTTAAAATATTCCTTTTTTAAAACCTTAAAACAAAGTTGCCTTGTCCTCATTTTTTCTGGTTTTAAAATGTATGTGTGAGCTGGCCTCCTTCTGTTTTTAGCAGATCCAGATTCTTTTAAAACTCTTCTTTTTAAACTTTCAAAACTAGAAACTCTGCACAGGTCATACGGTTCAGTTTCACCTGAAGCTTATCGTCCGCAATGCTATCACTCAGCTGGTTGCTCTCTTTGGTCCAGGAAATTTTGGAATTAGGCGATTCCTCCTTGTCCGAGTATGATCGCCTTCCAAGTGTAGTGTCTTGGTGGTGGGTCCGTAGGTGACTGTGGAGCTCTATTCTTGACCTGCATGTTTTTCCACATTGAGAACATCAGTTTCCAGGTGGAAGGCAATCCCGGTCAGAATTAGCTTCCTCTTGGCATGTTTCTCCCTTTCGCCCTCCATTTGTGTCTCTTCGAATTCTGCAGCACTGCTGGTCATAGCTGACCTTCAGTTAGAGCACTCAAGGACCAGGGCTTCCCAGTTCTCTGTGTCTATGCCACAGTTTTTAAGGTTGGCTTTGAGCCCTTCATTAAATCTCTTTTCCTGTCCCCCAACATTTTGTTTTCTGTTCTTGAGTTGGGAATAGAGTACTGCTCAGGCGGTGTTGTATTTCAGTGTCAATGTTGACTTTTGTGGAGAGGTGGTTGTCAAGGTAGCAGAAATGGTCAACGTTTTCTAATGTTACACCATTAAGCTGTGTTTCTGGCATTGCAGAGTGATTGACTGGTGCCTGCTGGAAGAGTACTTTGGTTTTCTTGATGTTCAATGAGAGGCCAAGCTCCTCACATGCTTCTGCAAAGGTGTTTAGAGTGGCTTGTAGGTATTCTTCTGAGTGTGCACAGACTATGTTATCGTCAGCGTATTGGAGTTCTCTTTGATCCACAGTTGTATCATCATATTGAAAAACATTTCACATATATACAGTGGGCACATAGCATCTGCTGAGTGTTGGTTCCAGGACCCCCAGCCCCATAGCTCAATTCCCTTTTTATATAATAGCTTGAGAAAATGCCATTCCTTATTTTAAAAATGGCAAGCAATTCAAACTTGTGTAAGAGAGAGCCTGAGGATCAGTGAAATTATGGAAGAATATGACTGCATATCAATGTCATGTTCAGTGCATGGCAAAATCAAGGTTTATTTCTTGAATTTTTCCCCACCAAATATTTTCAAATTATGATTGGCTGAATCTGTGGGTGTAGAATCCATGGATATGAAGGTCTGTCTTTATACATATCTCAAGGGTGCCAAAGTTTGGCTATATAATGTATGCTAGAACATTGTTTTTAGCTTTTTAAAATGCTGTAAAGGCATTTTATTTTAGACCTCACAACCCCTGAGAATGCCTGCCATAAATGCAGGTGAAATGTCAGCAAATGTCATGGCCATACAGCCTGAAAAACCTACAACAACCCAGTGATTCCAGCCATGAAAGCCTTCGACAATATACTTATTTTTAAAGTTTAAAATAATCCTTCCTAGTGGACTGGATTAAAAATAGCAGGACATTCCCCTCTACTTGAAGGGGGAATGCATGTCAACTAAATATAACCCATTGAAATACTGTCCTAAACTTTTTTCCCCTCCCTCCCTTGTTCACATGAAATAGTTGGCTAAGAAAAAGTAAGGCGTGTGTAGCACAATCCGTAACCTCCTGCACATGCAGTTGCATGGTGTGCTATATTTAGGAATATATAAGCAGAGCATTATATTTCTGGAAGGCCTCCAGGGAGCAAACTCAACAGGCCCAAGTTGGATCTCAGTTTTCTCTACTTAGGAACTTTCAACACACTCAATGACCACTCAATGACACTCCATTGCTGTCTTATAGAAGTGGTTGAACATCTTTGTTTGATACCTAATGCTAGATTAATTTCAAAGCTGCAGAACCAAATTTTCACATGTACTAGCATCACACATGGGTGCACCCTCTGTGTTTCACATGTGCATTCAGTTCACTAACAAAACAATATTTCACAACTGCTATGTAATTTTGTGAAAATAAAGTTACATTCTCTTGTCACAGTGTAATGTGATATCATTCTTCACCACTTTCATTCTGGAATGAAGCCATTAATAAATTTAGCACTTTTCTTATTCTGTGAGAAAGTTTTTTTTAAACTACAACCTTTCTGAACAGAATTTGGTAGTTTTCCAAAGAAAATAGCATTTAAAAACATTTCTCGTAGAAAAGGCTATTTATTATATTTTCTGTGCTGGATGTGCACTTGTTTCTTTTCTGCACCAAAATATTGTTCTGAAAGAATAGTGTCACAGACAGAGAAAGTTGCCTTTGAAGACTGTTCGGAAGCCCCAAATGGTCCAACGGGCAGTAACCAGATTGTTAACAGGAGCAGCGCTCAGAGAGCACATAACTCCTCTGCTGCGCCAACTCCACTGGCTGCAAGTCTGCTACCGGGCACAATTCAAAGTGCTATAATGCCCTAAACAGTTCTGGGCCTGCTTACCTGTTCAAACGTATCTCTCCTTATGAACCATCTAGGACTCCAAGATCATCTGGGGAGGCCCTGCTCTCAGTCCTGCCTTCTTCACAGACGAGGGACAGGGCCTTCTCAGTGGTGGCCCCTTGGCTGTGGAACGACTGGACAATGCGACTGGATGCGACCAAGAAACAGGAATATTGCATTCAAATCACCCCTGACAGATGGCCATCCAGCCTCTGTTTAAAAGCTTTCAAAGAAGGAGCTTTTAGTAACTGAGATGCTGAGGATTTATGTTTTTATTGGTTTATTGCTTCATGTGATGTTATTTATTCTAAATGGTTTTAATTGTTTCTATTTTATTGGGAGCATCAAATTGTGCCGTTTGTAAACCGAGTCACCCTTGAGCTGAGAAAGGCGGTATATAAATATGGTATATAAATAAATAAATAAATAAATAAGTGCTGTTTCTTGCGCAGATAATCCTGATTTATGCATTATTTTGGGCAAATAAGTTCAAGAACTGCCAAGATGGTCACAGAACAAGATTGTCCTTGTCAGGGGACTAAAGAGTGGACTCATCCTGGAACCTAGTCAGGGTAGGTTTATGTCACTTCTACTGCCTATGTGATCCAGTTTCTGGAGAGCATGAGATGAAGGAAGAACTTGCAATGCATTCGTATTTTGCTTGTGGTCTTATCATAGATAAGTAGTGGGTGTCTGGACCAACTAGAGAGCTCCGGTCTAATTCAGCATGGTCCTCAACATCAGACCAGATGTTGAGAAATAAAAATCTGTGGACCTCTTTATTCAGTTTTTTTTTTTAGTATACAAAGTAAAGATAGCTGCTATAAGTCCCTCTTTCCCTTGACTTAATAAAAAAAATAAGAGTTTAGATGTTTCATAGGCCCATTAAAGGCAAGACTGTTAACCTCCTGCTATGATCTGAAATCTTCAGTCAAATGATCACAACGGCTATCACAATGCCTAAGGTCACAAGAGCAAGGTGTATTGTCATTATAGTCATTATCATTCAATCAACCTTCACTATGAAGCGTTTTATAAAAATAATATTTTCTTAAAAGTGTGTTCACTGTGTGTATTCCCAAATAAGTCTGCACGACACAAATTGCATGCAGCACTTGGTATTTGTAAGAGGACTCAACTACAATTGTTTTCTTAAAATGGTGTATATACATATGCACACACATACTTGATTGTTTAGTATGCTTTTCATTTATAATTCCCAAGGGGGCTCAACAACACAGCAGCCTTGAGGTCCAGTTTTGCCCGATTGTATTTGAAGAGTTCCATGTGTGCATTCCAGACTTTCTGATATTTCACAATGCAAGATGCCCTGAATCTAGGTATTCCAAGATTCCTTAATCTTAGACTCCTAATGTGCATGCTCATGAGTGTATTCTCAAAGTCTCCATCAAAGGAGACCTCCCATTTTAGCATCCCAAGCATCAAAAATTGAGGATTCACAAGATCTCATTGTTACTGGGGCAGTTTCTGCTATTAATCATTCAGCCATGTCATGCTGTCAGTGTTGTCATGGAAT